AATCATTCGTTTATTTAAATGAAAAAAAAATATATTGTGTTTTCTAATAAAATTCTTCTTTATAAATTCTTCTTATTATTTAAATATATATATATATATACTATCAATATAGTTTTTATGTTATTTAAAAGTAAAAATAATTGTGAAGTATAATAATAATAACATTATGAATAATTATACAATGATAAATAAAATTTTATAATTTATTATTGTATCAATCAAAAAATTAAATAATAATCTTACTTAATATGGTTAGTTTCGATCCTATTTACCAAGTAAAATAAGTTGTACTGTTTTCATGGTGGAAAAAATTTATATTTTATACATATATATATACATTTTCTATTGCATAAATAATATGTTATAGAAGATATTAAAAGATTGTTATCATATATATGTTTTTTGTTACTAATAGTCCGTCATACAAAACAACGCGGTTACTTCAATTTTGCCAATGCAATAGGATCGGCCGGTATATACTTTTTCCTACATCGATATAAGCTACCAGACCGGTAATAGTCTCTCTTTCTCACAGGGTGTAAACAGGCCTATGACGAGTCTGCAGGAAGGAAAAAGAGGGGGTGAGGTAACGCGAGTGAGAGTGTCGACTAAGGACTCCTGGGTAGTGATGTGTATGGCGCCTTATTATATAGCGATGGGAGCAATATCCTCTTGATCCATTTTCAATATTTTGATGATTTAAAATCAATTATGAATATAAATAATAATATTTTATAATAATAATAATAATATTTTAGGAATTCTTCATATCTTAATAAATCACCTGAGAATCATATTATTATATTTAAGTTATTTTGTAATTTAAAAGTCAATTAAAAAATATAATTATATAACAGATATATAAATAAATGTATATATTATACACATAGCAATATATATATAATAGCAAATAAAGCTATTTTGATAATTATATGTATAATAGTCATTTAATTTATCTATCATACACTGAATATTATAACTGTTTCAGATTCTTACTAAATATTATGAATAATATATATATTTAAATTTTACAAAGAATAAGATTTAGTTATCGAATACTTTGGAAATATAAATTCCTCCTGGATCAACCCTATTACTAGGCAGTATGCATGTGTGTACGAATAAAGAAACTTAGGTACGCGATGAATCGAGCCTAAGCATGCTGGAGTGGGGACAAGAGGGAAGGGAGAATGACGGAGGGTCAAAAAATGTGTAGGTGCGCGCGCAGCTGCTTTGTCTCTGTGTCGTTGTATGGTGGGGAGTTGGCCGGACCACGAGGGGCCACAGGGGTCCGTGAGCGGACCATGGCGGACCAAAGGCGACTGCATCCTTTCAGTCGGCCGCTGAACCCGCGCGCCGTGCGGTTGTTCGTGTGTGTATTGCACTTGACTTCGATTTATCGTGTAATATTCTTTTTTTATTCTCTACCGCAGGACTACGCGTGTGAGGTTTTTCTATTTGCCGGTTATCCATCCATATCTAAGGTAACCAGACAAAGAGAAACGACAAAACTTCATTTCAAAGACCTTTCCTGATAAACAGGATCACGGACACACGCTTACGGATTTTTTGGTGTACATCTCTAGATTGTTTTCGTGCGCGGGCGTAACGCCGACGTGAAGTTCTTCTGCATGGTAAGTATTAAAAGTTTCTTATTTTATAAAATTTATCACATACGAATATATTGTATTTCTTTTATCGGTTTCGAAATGTCATAACTTCTTATTTGCTAAAAAGAGTATAGTCCTTGCCCCGCGTTTCTTTTGTCTTTATAAAAGGATATTTCATTTTGCTTAGAAAATTCAATTCAATTAGATATTGTCAACGAATTCGTTTAAAAGAAAAAGAACGAACATTGGGTAAGGTTTTCACACGTGTATGCAAGTATATAGCTTCAGGATATGATAAAGTGACGTAATGATGAGAGAAAAAAAGAATTCGAGGTAGGTTAGGATTTCGATTGAAAAACACTATACTGTTTTTACCGCGAAGATACATATTTCTGATTTCGATATTTGTTATAAGAATATAACATAACGAAAATAACAAAAATAATATTAAGATGAAACAATATCATATATTCTTTGTTTCATTTTCTGTTCTGTATATACTTATTACATACTTTTAGTTCATTATAATACGTAATATAGTTCATAAATACGTAAAAATAGATCAGTTTTACAATACAGTTTTACATAAAAGTAATTAAAAAAAATAATTAAAAATATAAACTCCGAAAGAATATTAAATAATTTTATATAATTTACTAACAGAAAATAGAGGGAAAAAATCATACTACAAAAAAATAAAAAAAATAAAATGCAAACTAAACGATTTATAAAAAAAGATATCTGTTTCAAACTAACATGTGTATTTAATAATAAGGGTTTTGTTTTTGCTATGTAACTGTGTGACTTTATATATGCACTACCAAAGTGAATATTGTTATACATATATTTGAAAGATGGATATACAATTAGTGCGTTTGCGTGTACGCATAATTTATTAGTAGTGCTTTTAGCAACAAAAGAGTATGAAACTGTGCATAATTATATCATATAATCGTAAGGTACATGGCATAGTATTCGAAATGTGTCTTCAATGCAATGAATATCCGTTTTTTTATCTGCTTATTCATGTTATTTTCTATAGACAAAAATTATATAAAAAAAATCTTTTTTCGTTGATTATATGGTGAAGAGATAATTTGAAACTTGAAAGAAATTATAAATTATATTTAATTTTAGTTACCAACAAGAATATTGAGATTTTATTGATAAATTAAATATGAAATATTGGAATATTTTCGATAAAAAAGAATATATTATTTTTTTTTACGATTGTAATAAAAATTATAGAATTTTATGAAAAGTTAATAAAGTTAATAAAATTGATAAAACATTTTTATTAATATTAAATACATGATAAACATTCAATTATTTCATGTCTTCATTTATCTCTACAATTTTATTTGGAAGAGCAAATGATCACTATAGTTAATTTTCAGGAAAAAATTCTCCTTAATTAGAAAACTAAATGACTATATTTGATTGTATTCATCTCATGTATTTTTATATTAGCATTTTGTTAATTTCAAAATGTAATTAAAAAAATAAAAAACAATTTTCAATAATTTTATTCATATAGACTCAAATAGAGTCGATTTAGTCTCATGATAGTCACATTTGTACATTAGATGTAAAAAATGAATTTTATCGTGATTTAGTTCTTTTTTTTTTAACGGGCCGCGGAAAAAATTTAAAGATATAATAAAGAATAAAGAAATAAAAAAAAGAGAAAAAGATAATTATAAATTATCGAATCTTAAATTTTTAATCAAAAAATGTTCGTAATAGAATAATTATATATTTTCTTTATGAATTATTATTTGAAAAAAACCATAAGATCTTTACTATTGATAAATTGATATAAATATAAAAAAATATAATTATAAAAATTAAGATAATTTGAATAATTTAAAAAATTATTTAATAAATATTTTTATTTAAGAAAAGTACAATAAATTTCATGTAATAATGAAAATGTTAATAAATTTTTATTGTTTTTATTTGAATGAGAATACTTGGAGTAATTTTAAATATTCTTTTCAATTTTATTTTAATAAAATATTATTGTAATTATTTGAATATTATTGATTTCTGATTTTACTACGAAAAAAAAGAAATAAAAATGTTCGAATAGTACAGATTTTTAGTAGTATATATAAATTTTTTTTTAAATTATTTAATGAAACAATGATGAAATGCTATGCAACTATTTATTTATATTTTAAAATATTAATATATTTGTATGAATAAACAGAATGACAGATACAATCTTGAATTTAAATGTAATTTGAATAGAAATATTTTTATTAATTAATATTTATTTGAATATCGATTTATCCCTTTAATTTTTTCACTTTCCTCCATAACATTTTTTATTCTTTTCTTTTTTTTTTTTGCGTTTTTTAAACTTAATTTTAATAGAATAAAAATTATATTTACAATAAAATACAATAATAAAGATTTTTATAATTAATAAGAAAATAAATCAAATGATATAAAATATCGTCATTCACTTTTATGAAAAGATTTGATAGAATTAATTTTCACGTTGTCATATATAAGGATATTAATTGCGAGTAATTTAGAAGAGCGCGAATGATACACGCGATCTAAATTTAATGAAACTGCTCTCGAACGAGAAAGATCTTGGAAGATCTCGATAGTGGTCCGGAGTTTGATCTCAGGGCTAGCCATGAACAGCAACTCTCGAGTTGTGCCAACTCTCCAACACTAGTGTCGCAGTACGACAATCGATCTCTCGGCTAGAACACGTATACGGAACGCATTTTCAGGTCTCGTTAATCTTATCCATCGCGTTCGATGGATCGGTAAATTTCTACATCATTTTATACGGGGGTAAAAACGAATAATTGGTGTTATTAACTGCGGAGATTTAGTGAAGCTGATAAGTAAAAGAAGAGGGTTGAGCAAACAACTGAATCTTCTAATATTAGAATATAGAATATTAATACAATAAAATATAATATTATTTCTTTTTCTTCTTCCTAAATATAATCTATAATTCTCATTTTTTTATCGTTTATTGAAATTAAATCATAAGAAAATCCCATTTATTAGGTTCACAGTACTGTAAAGAGATTTTATCAATAAATTGAGATAGAAACAACTTTTACTTTGATATTTCTCACGATAAAAATAATCGATTTCACAAAGATATGAAAGATTTAAAGATTCATCTTAACCGATAATTCTCAACTTTTTCATAACATTTTTCATACATATCATTAGAATTGAGAGATTCCAATATCATTAAAGTATCTCGTATCTTAGAGATTTTGTAGGAATTAAGTTTGAAGATCTTTTTTTTCCCTTTAAAAAATTAATTTTCTTTTTCTAGTATTTAATTGAAAAAAATATCATTATATTGATTGTTATTAAAATTTCCATTTTTTTTTTGAATCATAGGATTTGCAAGGGTGACTGCACCGATGACCTTATTTCCCGCCATCTCAGTTTTATGACTTTTCCTGTGTATACATAAGATATACGGAGAATTACGATCGGTCGGGTACTTTACTACTTTCAGGATTGTGCACGCTGATAAAAGACAAAGCCAATATTTAGATTCGTTATCGATTGAACCTTAAAACTTGCAGGATTCATAATCAGACCAACACCATAGGCTTGTTTTTCGATCAGTTTTCTTATGCTCGAGCACGATCCTATTGAATCTTTCGAAAATTTTTCACCAAATAATAAATTTCGATCGTATTCGCATTTTTCACAATTGTATTTATTTATTGTATAGATAAGAAAATGCTGAAAATGTATTTTAGATTAAAATATTATAAATAATTTATCCTCCGATCATTTAATAGCCAATACTTTGTTGGATGACCAATTACTATTACCTTTGAACTGCAGAGAAAGTGGAAAGACAAGGGATCCTGTAAATCGTGTTATCTATATCAATAACAAGTTATGAAAAATATTTATTTAGTAGTTAGTTAGATAAATACTGAAAATATTAAGTCTGAATTTAATATTTCAATTCTAAGGATTGTTCAATTTCAAATTTGTAGTAGAAAGTAAAAAAAGAAATAATAAACTTGAGTACAATGAATCTTTTTATCATTTACCTTTTTTTCTAAATATTTCATATATTTCTTTCTAATATAATCACGTACATTATTGTACATTATTCTGAATATATTGAATATTCTGAATATATTTGCTAATTTTAGTCAAAAGTGCATTTTTATTCTTGTTACATTTAATATTGTTCACAATTAAAATATTACCAAGAATTCAGAGAAGTAACGATATAAAATGCAGGACTTCTTTTTGATCGAGAAGTTTATCTTCTTCCTCAGACTTGTTTTTCAACTTTCAACCGTGTATTTTTTTCTTTTTTTCTTCCTACCAGTGGTTCGTGTCAAGTCCTGCAACACTTTGCAAAAATAAATTATGTTCGTAACGCAACGCGACTAGATCTTAAATCTTCGAAACCGGCCTTAAATCTCGATCGTCCCACATGTTTTGTTGTGTGCGTATATGTAGATGCCCACGGAGGACCGGAACATGAACGAAAACTGGTGCTCGAATGAAAAAGGAATCAGTCGCTGGACAGGTCAGAAAAATTCGTCTCTTTGAATAATTTATTCGGGTTAAAAACGAAAATACTGGCGATATTCAAATTAACGTGAAAAAAAAGCTGACACATCTCTTTGTATTCGTAAAGAAATTAGCTCGGATGCTGCGAATGAAAAGATTTATTTTTAAATTAATTGTTATTTTTATTATTTTAGTATTATTTTTATAATATAATACTATAAAAATCATATAGATTTTTTTATTCTTTTTATATATATAATTGATATTCTTTGTTATCAGAGAGTTATTTAGAATTGTTTCATTTAGTTATCATCTATTTTTAATTTCTATAACTCTCCTCTTATTAACTTAAAAGACAACAATTTCATTATTATTAAAATATTATTAAAATACTGTAGAATATATTTTTATTAATTGAAGATTAATTTTTATATTAATCTTTAGTTTCTTTTATATAAATTATATGATACAAATGGAAAATATTTTAAATT